AGAAGGGCGTGCACAACCAGAAAGTTGTAAACTGCTGTTGCTGCTGCAGCTGCTGTTGCTGCTGCAGCTGTGCAGCAGTGCATACACCCCAGTGGTATGCATGCTGGGGTGTATGGGGAGCATCTTCATGTGCACGGATGCAACGTGCTGCTGCGGTGTGGTAGCTGGGGGTTGTGTACACCCCGATTGAGGGAGAAAAAAGGAGTAAAATGCATCAAATGAAGCGCTGAAGAATAAAAATAAATAAAAAAAATAAAAAAATAAAGTTTTATTACCTCTCCTTCGAAGGTTTCTAGGCGAAAGGAAGATGCTGGCAACGGGGAGGCGCCCAAGCCATCCACCGACCATCTACTGTCGGAGGCAAATAGCCGTTGTTCTTCCATTTTTCTCCTCTTTATCCACCATTACAAAACAAAATAATTAATTAATATTCATAAAAACTGAAAAAATAAAAAAAATAACCAAAAATTAACACCAGAAAGCTCATCCGTGCATCACCACACACACCGCAGCTGCGACACGGGGCCATGCAGCGGCCCCCATTCCTCTCAGTTGATGAAAAAAAGAAAAACTATTTAATTATTTAAATGAAATAAATTAAAATTAAAATAAAATCATCGAAAATAAAATTAAAATCTATACAATTATGTGCGCACAAACCAGCAACCGCGGCGCCGCTGCCGTCTGCCGCAGGCGAGGTGTCTGTACACCCCAGGGCTGCATACGTATCCTGCATTTTTTCGCGTTAATATTTGAATAAAAATATAAAATAATAATTAAAATAAAGTTTTTTAAAAGATATAAAGCCAGAGAGAACAAGTTTCTCTCTCTGCTGATGAGCCAGCGAGAAGAAACGAAGCAGCAGCAACCCCTATCGATACAAAACACATAAAAAGGATTAGTTAATACCCAAAACTCTGAAATATATTTCCTCTCAACCAAAAAAAATAAAAAACAAAAACACCACTCATCCACGCAACGTGACCAGTGGACCAATGGACCAATGGACTACCACACGACACACAAACCCTGAACCTACAATTCACAATTAATTAATTAATTGATTTAAATAATTAATTAGTTAGTTATATTAATTAATAAATTAACTGAAACCCCCATGGCGGCTGCATTGCGTCTCTCCTTTTTTTTGTTTTTTGTTTCGTTTTTTGTTTTGTTCTCGTTTTGTTTTTGTTTTTAGTATTTTCTGCTTTCTTGTTTTATTATTTTCTTTTTTTCTTCTGTTTTTGTTGTTTTCCATTATCTTCTTTTTTTGTCTCTTTTTTTTGTTTCTATTTCTGTTTATATATTTTGTTACTATATCTCTCTCTGTCTCTGTCTGTATTTATATATTTGTATCTGTCTCCTTTCTGGTGTATCTCTCTCTCTGTCTCTTTTTTTATCTTTTTGTTTCTGTCTCTCTTCTTTTATATATATATATATATATATATATATATATATATATATATATATATATATATATATCTGTCACTGTTTATATCTTTGTCTCCTTTTTGCTGTTTCTCTATTTCTTTCTCTGTCTCTATTTATATCTCTGTCTCTGTCTCTGTCTCTTTTGTTTTGTTTCTGTCTCTCTGCTTTCAGTTGTTAATATATTTCTCACTTCTCTCGCTCCTGTGTCGGCTTGTAAACCCTAAACCCTAAACCCTAAACCCTAGACCCTACACCCTAAACCCTAAACCCTAGACAGTAAGTCTTTAAGCAAAACGCCAAAAGGTTTTATTGTTTAAGGGTTTAGGGTTTGGGGTCTAGGGTTTAGGGTTTAGAGTTCGTTATGGGCACCCAACCTAAACCCTAAACCCTAAACCCTAAACCCTAAACCCTAAACCCTGATTTCAGCTTTGTTGTAGGGCATAACAAAACGAAGGAAAAAAAGAAAAAAGAAAAAACAGCAAAATAAGAAAAAGAGAAAGAAGAATAAAAGATATAATAAAGATACAAAAGAAAAAAAGAAAGAGAAAAAAAACAAAATAAATAAACATTAATTAATATTATAAACCCTAATTATTTTCTCTATAATATAATAAAGATACAAAAGCAAAAAGAAAAAAAAAACAAAATAAATATAGATGCATACAAAAAGGAAGAAAAGAGAAAAAACAAAACAAATAAATATAAATAAATATTATAAACCCTAATTACCTTCTCTATAATATAATAAATATACAAAAGAACAAAATAAAAATAAAAACAAAACAAATAAATATTAATTTATATTATAAACCCTAATTATTTTTTCTTTTTTCTCTCCTTTTATCTCTAGGGTAATTACAATACCGCGGCGGCGTTCAGGCGATGGGTTTGGGTTTATACTTATAGAACCAACTAAACAACCTATAAACAAAATAAATAAATAAAATAAATAAAATAAAATAAAATAAATAAAATAAATAAATAAATTAATTAATTAATTAATTAATTAATTTAGATAAAATACATAAATATAATAAAAAAGTAAAAAAAATGATTTTGGGTTTATACTTATAGAACCAACTAAACCACCTATAAACAAAATAAATA